ATCCTCTACCTGGCATTAATACTGAAACTTGTGGGTACTTAGAGAGTACCCAGGTTAAAGTAGATTTGTTTTCAGAAATCCTGGTGCTACTATCCTGTTTCCCTGAAAATAAGACTTCCCCGGATAATAAGCCCAATCGGGCTTTTGAGCGCATGCGCTAAAATAAGCCCTCCCTGAAAATATAGCAACACAGCAACAGCCATGAGGTGAGCACGCTCGCCGTCTCCTGCACCTCACAAATAATAAGACCTCCCCAAAAATAAGGCCAAGTGCTTATTTCGGGTGGGTCAAAAGAAAATAAGACCATGTCTTATTTTTGGGAAACATAGTAGTTAATTTAAAATTTAAAGGACAGATACCAAAGCAGGATGCTTCTAAAGGAGCCACCAAGAATGAAATAAACTGGGTTATCTTTATGAACATCGTCCCCGTAAATCCCTTCTAGTTTTTCTTCACTCAGTCTCGGTGAGTCTGGAGTTGTGAAGAGGGTTGTTCCATGGGATTATGCTGCCAAAGAGATTGCTGTCGTTGCCCAATTTTATAAACCTTCAACTTCTCTTTCCCCCAAATGTTGCTGCTTAAGGCAGGAAGTTTGCTATCTCACAACTTGAACAAGTAAATAGAAAGAACTGGGTTCTCTGAGCTAGTGCTGCGACATGCCGACGGCCAGCAGAGCTGGCAGCAGAGTCGGACAGTGAGGAGTTTGGGGAGGAACATGGGCCAGTCCTGGGGCTGAGGAAAGCTCAGACGAGGGCTCTGTGTTGGAGGCAGAGAGGGAGCTAGAGAGCAGTGAGGCAGAGGAACAGCTGGAGCCTGTTCCCAGTGTGTGCATGCACAGAGCTGCCAGAAGACAAGAACAACTAAGAAAGCAGGGTTGACTTGGGAATAAAGCCACACCTTGGAGGCGATTGGCCCCTCCCATGGGAAACAAAAGAGGAGCGAATGGGGAGGGGGCTTTTACAGGAAACAATTAGTTCCTTCGATCGTTTCAAGAGTGGAAAGTTCTGTTTGTGGCTGTAAGAGAATCTGTGTTGACTTGCCCTACATTTGGAAACTAGTCATCTGGCAGTTCTCCGAGCGAGATAAGGTGCATGTTGATAAATATTCCTTTGAAAGACTGTTTGCCAAGCCTTGCTGACTGTGAATGAAAGGAATTCACAGTCATGTAAATAAAAGAGGTTTTGCCAGGATCAAGACTCTGCTTCATGCTTTTTAATGAAGCCTAGATCAGAACGGCTAGCTTCTCTTGCAGATATTAATTAAAAAAACACAGGTCAATCACAGCATAATTAGTTCTAAAAAGTCCTCTGCATAGCAATAGAATTGTTCAGTACTATCATTCATCCCTAGACATCTGGTGTGTAAGGTTGAACGATGTCACATGGGTCACATCTTTAATTCTATCAGTCGTGGTGAATAATGTCATTTGCATCACACAACCGAGGCAAAAATTATTTGTTTGTGTCATTTGTGCAAAGATGTGGTGACACATGTGACATTACTTGCTCATCCCGTGGGCCCCTCATTATACAATTACGTAATGGGTCAGTAGGAACAAGTCAATGACATTAATCAATATTTCAGAATTACTCCCACGGTTAGTTATGTGGACAGAGTATTACAAGGAGTAGTACGTCACTAATTTCCAAGCCCATGTGCATTTTTCCCATTATTTCTTTTCCTTTAACAACACCAATTCTGTTACATCAATTTTAGTTAGTTTTGTGGGGAAGGAGGACAGGAGAATTTAAAAGCAGCTTCCTGATTTGGCAGCCGGAATTCGAAAAATGGTTTAATATTCTTCCAGTGGTTTTATTCCATGGAGGTTATTAAAATAACAATGCTTCTAAAAATATTTTATGAACTTCGTGCATCTTCAGAAATATGGCTCCCCAAAAGTGATTAGTTACATGGTAGATTTGATCATTTATACACCCGCGTGTCATTTGTACTGTGGGGTTCTTTTAATGGTTATCTTTTAACGTTTTTAAAGCTGTGTTTAGATTAATGATTATAATTAAAGCCATTTTAATAGCTTGCTCTTGATGGCTTGCTGAAGTAAAAAAAAAAGTATGTCTAGTATATCCCTTTAGCGTGTTTGACTATCTTCTCCAAATACATCCCCCATCTTTCCTCTCTACTGATCTGCTCTGACCCAGCTCCCCAGACACGACAAACCCTCTATAGTTGAAACCATGATTCCTTTATTAGAAGCGCCAGCAAAAAGTTTCTCTCTCACCACAGGCTAACAAGTCTGTCCGGCAGGGAAATGCCACACATAATCATCTCTAGGATGGGGTTCGCTAGCAGCAGTGGCTCTTCCGTCCCAAGGACCAGCCCATAGATTTCCACTGCTCTCCTCTCCTCTGCTCTCTGTGAATCCACGCGTCAGGCACTGGACCCAGCTTTTCCTCCTCTTCCTCATCAGCCACCTCCAGACCTGGGGGCTATTGACTCTCCACAATATTTTTTTCCAGAGGGTG